TTCCCGACTTCTGGTCATCCGTGGAAACCTCACAGCTGCTGCTTACCGCGACCAGGTGCTCACCCCTGAACTCGTTCCTTTCATGGCGGCTCAAGGCCCAGGTCTACAGTTCCAGCATGATAATGCTCGGCCGCATACCGCGATGTTGACACGAACTTTCATTCAAGACGCTTGAATCAACGTCATGGACTGGCCATCGAGGTCCCCTGACCTTAATCAAATAGAGCACGTTTGGGATGCACTTTGGAGAAGGCTTCGTGGTCTTAGGAACCAACCTCAGAATTTGCAGGAACTTGGTGCTGTCTTGCAAGAGCAATGGCGCAGAATCCCCAACCACGTGTTCACAAGCATCAGGCAGTCGATGAGGAGACGGTGTTTGGCAGTGGTGAATGCGCGGGGCGGCCATACACGATATTGAACTGAGAAATTTCGCATTTTTATTCTTGTGACTTGACATTCTGTATACCCATGTTTTGGAACGTCGGTGTAGCCTAATGGAACTGATTATGGCACTGTCAGTGTATCGAGTACATCACACAGATCTCAGCAATGAAATATTAACAATTTAACCATCTTACCATCTCTTGTTCTTTTATAGTGCCCTGAAGAAAGAATGTGAAGTTTCTTTTTTTTGACTCAGCCTATTTCCATATGAGGTGGTAACGTAGATTTCAAAACGTAGATTACTTTCACCGTTTGCAAACTACCATGATCTTGACTGGAAGCATATTGCACTCCCTTTTCGGTTTTATTACACTATTAAACACAAAGCATTCATTCTAATCACTTTTATAGGTAGCTGTTATTCATGTGTCCAAACAGTAATGGTAACGTAGTTTCCATGCTTAACACCACTATTTTTATAGACCGGGTTCGTCTTTGTGTATGGTTTTATATGGTACAATGTGTTCCAAGATGACACTTATATAATATATCCTTTAAAACTTGCAAGTTTTCAAAACAAATGTTTGTCAATATATATGCATTTGACACTGCATTTTAGGTTCTGTAACGAAGATTACCGCTATTTTGGCGACATATTTGGTAGTGTCACATTTGTTTTGTTTATTATGAAAATCTCTTAAACGCCTATGATGGTAAACATACTAATTGTATCCATTTGTTAAACACTACAGCTTTGGCAACGCCAAGAATGAATACATTGTGACACATGTTTTATTGTTACAAACAAAATGGTGATTTCCAGTTGATTTCTGCGATGTATACCATGTTTACTTGGTAGTACTGGATGCGTATTTGACTTTTATTCGTGTTTATTCGTCTGCTAAACAAGTACAAATCAAAACGACAGAAGAAATAGGTAATTGGGCATTCTATCTGAGAATTGGTGTGTACCTCTCGCTCATCCCTAACCGTCAGGACCGAAGTTCGGGGGTATACCGTAGTTCAGGTAAAGGTACGCCATCCCAGGTGTGGGATACTGACAGGTAAATACCATCTACCTGCCAGGTAAGGGCGCTGTAAGAACAACTTGGACACTACAACACTGCGTGCGACAGTTTTCGATGTACGGAGCAATCGTTTACATTCCATATATGGCAAGTGTTATCTGTTTGGAAGCTGTTCGCCACGAAGTTTGAATTATTGATATCAAGCAAATCGTAAGGGATAATATGTCTTTTATTGCATCAATAGGAAGCTATTTTTTTTAAGTGAGTGCATATGACCACAATATATAAAATATAGGCCAAAATATTGCCGAAAATGTGTGATATTGTGCCTTCTGTTCGAAGTTCTCCTTGTGTACACATTCTACACATTGTACTCATTCTATAATAAGCCGCTTGGCATATTACCTTTGGTAATTTATAATAGAATTGTGCACGTAATTCAACCAGCAGTTAAAACTTTATCTCAGTATTTGTGCATCCTTGTTATTCGGTTAAGTTGTGTTCTTCAAGGTTGTACGAAGTAAAGAATCCGCTACATACTTCATAAATATTAAAGTTCATGTAAGATTTTTTTTTATATTTTGAACTCTGTCTTTCAGTTATTGGTTTGTTTTGTTTCTTCTGTTTTGGGTTTTTCATATACTTAGCAGCAAACAAAACGTCAGTGCGAATTCAAAATTAGATAGGCACTGTAATCAAATCATCATAGAAATGGACATAATAAGCGGATCAAAAACATTTTTTGTGTACAATATCCTGAATAACACAGCACAATTCCAATACATTACGTGAACGTTTGCAGTCCATTCAGATTCTTGACTTCATTATCTAGTGTGACCACCACGAGCTGCAATAACTGCAGCACAGCGTCTATGCATGGAGTGCACCAGTCGATTGATGAAGGCCATTGGCACCTGGAACCACACTCTGGAAAGGCCTGGCGCAATAACTCGGCTGCGTTCGGCCTTGGTATTACATTATTCAGTCTCCCCTGAATTTCATCCAAAGATGTTCAGTTAGGTTTAAATCAGGACTAAGGGTTGGCCACTCCATAATGTTGTCACCGTTCTGCTGTAGGAAGTCCCGTGTAGCACTGGCAGTATGGGCCGGGGCGTTATCATGCTGGAAAATGTTGTTCCGGTGACGTGCGAAATGTGGTATGAAGTGAAGAGCTTGATGTGGAGAACTTGGTCGATGTGATGCCGCCTCCTCTCCTTCGCCCAAGGTTATGGAACACCACAGGACCCACTCTCTGGTTCAGGCCTATTCCACCCCATGCCATGATGGCTGCACCGTCCCATGAGTCTCTTTCCATAACGCATTGGTCTGATTAATGCTGGCCACGTCGTCGCCATATTCTTGTTCTGCCATCTGCAGTTGATACGCAGTATCGACTCTCATCTGTGAAGAGAACAGTTCTCCATTGCCTGCATCGCCAGTTTTGGTGTTATAGGGCAAACTGTAGACGTTCATGCGGAAGACGAGGGGTGAGGATAGGTCCACGGTAAGGTCTACGGCGATGGGAGTCCCCGCTGTTAAGACGTAGGCGTATCATATCAGCTGTTTCGGATGCCTGCATGAAGGGGTTCTGTGCATGCTGTCGCACAACATGGCGGTCTTGTCGTCTTGTGGTCACCCTTGGTCTGCTTTTACCAGTACGGGGGCGATCATTTGTGGTGTTGGTGCCCCGGAAACGTTACTGCAGCCTCTAGATGGTCCGAACATTGACCTGGAAGTGATTGGCAACGGCAGTGTGCAGTGTGGCCAGCTTCAAGTCTTCCTAGCGCCTGGTTCCTCTGAGCTGTCATGAGTCGCGGCATCCTGCTGACGTTGTAATGTGAATGTTTCAACCAGGTTTGGGGGTGCATTTTATAGGGCTGGTCCTTGTGAACAGCACGTGCAGCATGAGTTGCGTGAAAAACATGGAGAACACCGTACTATCTCCGAGATCAGGTTGGTGTTTTTGAAACCATTTCCTGGATTCCATTCAGAGTTTGGGAAGGAATGTCTTTGCTCAGGTAAAGTTGGAGATGTTGTCAAAACATTAAATAAGTTTACAGTTATCCGCTTCTGCGAAGGACAATTCCAAACTGACGTTTCTTTTGCTGCTTAGTATAGTTACGCCTGCTTTTATCAGTATGTAAAAGTAAAAGTGGCTTATTGACTGTACGTCCCCATGGTCCCTGGTATGGTGATCTACCTTCAGTTGTTGACAATCTATAGCCCATTTTTATATTGTGTTGTCACTTAACAGTTTACTATTTTATATGCTCCCTAACCAGTTTTAAACAACATGTGATTATACTAGTTCTTGTAATGTCCTTTGGCGACAGGATTTTACAACCTTTAAATATATTTCATGTGTTCTTATTGCTGTATAAGGTTCTCTCGCCACGATATGGCTGTAATATTGCCGATGTGACGATAAATTTTAACTCACTCACTCACTAACTTGCTTATTGTAGGTGCAGGCCGCAACGCACATACAATAGGCTGTAAAAACATATAAATTAGGTCCAACAAAATACACAAGCATGAACGAATGAGGATATGTTATTTGACAAACTATATATAGGGTTCACAGACGCTTGTCACTTCTGACAACGGATCACAAATATGGCTAACAAGACCAATACATCATGAGACCATGGCCCCGTCGAACAGTGCAACAAAAGGAGTTTCAATTAATCAATTACAAATTGAATTAAAAGTATATACGTTTTGGACGAAGGCATTCCTCTGCCAGGTTTTGACTTTGATGTGTTCTGATGTCCATTGTCCATCTCACAGATCCCTCCTTCATCACAGTCTCATCTGTCAGTGTCAGCATAAACGACACATCTTCAGTCACAGTAGTACAAATAGTTTCAAGTAGTTTCAAATACATAACGATAATAATGTTTTCCTTCAGAATGAATTTGTCATTTTTTCGATTGATAAACTAAAAGAGTACAAATGTTGTTTTGACCGAAAATAAATGTTGTTTTTTTAATTTTAATTGGCTGCATGAAACGTTCATTATATTTTATGCATGCAAAGGGTAAAAAAAGCGGGACGGTAGCCTGGCGGTTACGTTTGGTTCCTAGTTCAATCTTAAGATGGGTACAACATAAAACGCAGTTCTTGTGTATCGTTGCCGTGATATACCTAAAAGGGTACTAAACAACACCCATTACACGATTAATATATTGACCAAATTGTTCATTGGGCTTAGTCTCTATTCGCCCACATCCCTAATTGCCCACATCCAAATTGGCCCACAAAAACATCAGAGGTTTATTAGGGTCAGACAATGCACCCCTACTCTCATAATGGGGTGTCCTGACAAGGGGGGGATTAGTCTAAAATCACATACATCTCTGAGTTACTTTGACAAAGTGCTCTTGTTTCAGTGTTGTGGTAGTTATACAGGATGGAGAAGGAAACTTAGAGAAGATTTAAAGTATATTTCAATTTTGTCTAAATAAAGTAGAGAGTATTGATCAATTAATGTATCTACTAATCGGAAATAACTTCTCTCTCCTTTCAATTTAGTAACTCACTGCAACCCTATAAGTATGGTAGTTTTGCAAAGTATGGGCAGTTGCAATGGCTAACCTACAGAAAGCAGAGTTCACGTTGTCGCAGAGAGGAGGAAAACAGGTTTCTACACGGAGGTCACAAGTATCGACTGCACGTTGACAGACAGGTAGCCACTCACTGGAAGTGTATCATCGACAAGTGCAAGGGTAGATGCAGCACCATTGGGATCACATCACTTCAGTATCAGAACACAACCATCCTCCACTAGTGAATGAAGAAGAGAGTCGACTTCTCACCAGACTTAGACAACGCGTTCAAGAAGAGATCAAGCCTGTCCAGCAAATCTACAATGAAGAGACCCAGAACCTAGACGAGAAGAAGCTGCTGCTACTGTTGCTTCCTTCTACAAAGTATCAAGTCTGGACTCTACCGTCAGCGTGCCAAAGGTTCTTCCACCAGTCCACGTACCCGTGCTGATGTAGACCTCACAGGTACCTTTTTAAGTATTAACTTATCTACTGATATTTGCATAATGCTCAATTGATTTCTTGACAGTGTACTTCATTCATTCATTCATTCATCAAAACAACGTCTAACACACTTGCTTGTTTTTAAGGTTCCTGGACTGAGACAACAGACGGACAACAGTTCCTGGTTGTAGACAGCGAAGATGAAGACAGGATCCTGATCTTCAGTACCGCAGAGATGCTGGACATCCTCGCCAATGCAGAAACCATCTACATGGACGGAACATTTTTTGTGTGTCCCAGCCTGTGGCAACAAGTCTACATTGTGCACTGCCTTGTGGATGGACAGATGTTCCCAGTCGCCTTCTCCCTGCTGCCAAGCAAGTCTCGTGATACATACATTAGATTGTTTAACTACTTGAAGGACTCTGTGCTTGCTATTGTCGGCGTTGAACTTTCTCCCTCCGTTGTACAGACTGACTACGAAGCTGCTGCTATTGGAGCCACTGAGAGAGTCTTCCCCGAGTCTTCTTCTGCAGCACTCCCCCTCCTCCCAGTGGATCAGATCCAAGATGCCTGGATGGAAGTATTGAACCAGTCTCCCGACGTTGACGGAATCGGCCAGTTCAACGACTACATCACATCTACATGGGTTGACTACGACGCAAGATTCCCACCTCGCATTTGGAATCAACATGGAAACACTGGGCCAAGAACAAACAATCACTTGGAGGGATTCCACCTGGATTTAAGAAGCTGGTTCAGAAGCACCACCCGAACATTTACGAGTTTGTGATCACAATGAAGAAGCTCGAGACAACAAACAGAGTGGCCAGAAGACAGATTGAGCATGGAGCAGCTGTCCGCCCAAGATCCAGACTCTACAAGAACCTGGACAGCCGCCTGCACAGACTGCAGCAGCAACTGGAAACTGGCAGAAGATCACCGCTACAGTTTCTGGACGCGGCTGGACACCTGATCAAGTTGAACTGAACATTATGAAACTTTGTTACAGAAATAAAAACAAAATGTAAATTACTTTTGTCTTCATTTGCCCACATCTCAATTCGCCCACATCTTCAAAATAGGAGAGTCCATTCTTCAGTCATAGGTATGACACAAGTTGATCATTATGTAATCCCTAACCAATATGTTGTTTTAAAACTGTGGGCGAGATGGGATGTGGGCGAATAGAGAACATGCCCATAATGCCGTTCATTGTACTTGCTTTCGTCAGCATAACGATTATTGCTGTATGCCCATTATGTTCGTTATGATTCAATTTGGTTTCACCAAGCTATAAAATTAATAAATAATACCTGCAATACTACAGGGCAACAGTTCAGTTTACCTTTGTGTGTTTGAGGAGGGTGCAGACTGTGAGGCGACACTGACGCACCTTTTGCCAGGTCACATCACTTTCACACGGTCACATTGACGCACCTTTTGCCAGGTCACATCACTCTCACACGGTCACATTGACGCCCTTTTTGCCAGGTCACATCACTCTCACACGGTCACACTGACGCACATTTTTGCCAGGTCACATCACTCTCACACAGTCACATTGACGCACCTTTAGCCAGGTCACATCACTCTCACACGGTCACATTGACGCACCTTTTGCCAGGTCACATCACTCTCACACGGTCACATTGACGCACATTTTTGCCAGGTCACATCACTCTCACACAGTCACATTGACGCACCTTTAGCCAGGTCACATCACTCTCACACGGTCACATTGACGCACCTTTTGCCAGGTCACATCACTCTCACACGGTCACGCTGACGCACCTTTTGCGAGGTCACATCACTCTCACACGGCCACATTGATGCTTTTTGGAGAAAAGCGAAATGTTAAGAGTTATGTCTCCTTGCTTCCAGTCACCCCTTTCTATCATTAATAGTACTTTTTTATCGATAGTTGGTTTGTTTGCGGTGGGGTAGCCTTGTTCTTAAAACGTTTGCTCGTCACGTCAAAGATCCGGGGTCTATTCCCTACATGGATACAACCCGTGAAGGTCCGGGTTAGAATTGATCTTCACTAACCCATGCTTGTCGTAAGAGGCGACTAACGGGATCGGGTGGTCAGGCTCTCTGACTTGGTTGACACATGTCATCGGTTCCCACTTGCGCAGATCGATGCTCATGATGTTGATCACTGGATTGTCTGCTCCAGACTCGATTATTTACAGTCTGCCGCCATATAGCTGGAATATTGCTGTGTGCGATGTAAAACTAAACTCACTCACTCACTCACCCACATGTGGATACAATGTGTGAAGTCCATTTCTGGTGTCCCCCGCCGTGATATTGCTGGAATATTGCTAAAAGGGCGTCACTCATTCTATAATTTGAAGAGGGATAGCCTGAAGGGATAACGCTATCGCTAGTCAAAGTAACCGGCCTGGTTCGATTCCCTACATGCAAACAGTTTGAGGACCACGTGACGTTTGACCATACTCTCACACAACCACTCAGACGCTTTCACTTTGTAATGTTGTCCCAGACCTCTGGGAACAGATTATTTTTCGATTCTTTTCTTGAAACGATTCTTACAACAGTTAATGGCAAACATCTACATATTCCATTCAATAAATACTTTTTGGCAGTGAGAAACGACAGAATATCAGAGCGATAAACAATGTACACGTGTTATACAGACGTATGAAGTAAATCATTCAAGATCAACGCGACTTTCAAAACATCCACTGAGTAAGGAATTGGCGTGTACTTCATCGCACGCAATGGTGAATCTAAGATGTTAAAATTATCAATTTATACTGTACACACCATGCCTACACTTCTGTATTTAAAGAATTGAAGCATTAACTCCGGCTTTATGTACACTACTGGTATATATATCCTGTATATCTGTTAGTCAACATTCGCCTGACGAAAGGGCAAGGAAAACCCCAGAAACGCTGTGTATACAATAAAGAAGAAGTTGACATAAAAAATATAATATTTTGTCATATATTTAAATCTTAATATTTGGAACTGGATCATTGTAGTGTTTCCTTGTGTTGACATGTAAATGACTTTATTCTACACATTGATTTAATTATTTGATCCGGACAGATTACAGATTATTCATAGTTCAATAGCATTACAATATCGTGTGTATAATGAAGGGATGAGTCCCAACACTTCTTTATGCTGATGTCCGGCACAAACAGCCCGTGGCAACTCTTTAACGACCACATTCGCGGAGTCACGCAAGTATGCGGTCAGTGCATGTACGTTTATTCTTTGACGGCCTCCGGTTAAAACAAAGCAACAGTATCCCCATAGGTCATATGGACACTGCGGTTTAGGCTATATTTGTATATAAATATAAGACAACATAACCTTGGAGATTAATCGAATTGTTTGCTTGTTGAACCAAAATTGACACCGACTGCCATAACGTTGTTTGCGTCCATCAATGCAAAGGGCTGTATTTGGGTATAAAGGCCTGCATACACCTACTTTGAAGCATACTGAGCTACACCTCACAAATGCAGATCTACACATTCCCGTTGGTGATTGTCGTCCTAGTCTCTGTGGCTGCCATTCAACTACCACACACTTATGCTCAAGGTAGGTAGATACTGGAGACAACAAAGGGCAAATTGATCAGGATCGACGTGATACAAATTTGTTCAGTTAACTGACAAGCTCATACGTCCTTTAACGAAAACAATCAACGAAAGTTTCAATATATTCTAAAATGTTAAATAAGCAACAATTTGCAACGCTAAGATGTCGATGTGATTATTGTCCAAGGAAACTGTCATAATATTTCATATAGAGTTGTTGTCAATGTTGTTATTATATTTCCCACAAAATGCTATTGTCAACGTTTGTATCGGGAGGAAATTGTCTTAAGACTGACCAGATTTTATTGGATTTTTTATTCGATTGTAATGATTGACTATTTACGGTGTTGCAGTTTGCTGGTATTGAACGCTTCATTCTGTGTTTGGCCATTGTTGCGACCACACGAATGACAAAAACGACATTGTATTCACGCTTAACTGTCATAGGATCATGATTTTGCCATGTAAGAGCCACAAAAAGGCCCTATTCTAAGAAAAAGGCCCTATTCTAAGAAAGAGGCCCTATTACATTGATTAGAATGATAATTATAGTAATACGTATCAGATTTAATATGTTTAAACTGCCTTGTCATTTTCGTTAACACGACTTCAAAGATCTTTGGCTTTAATGTAAATATATTGGTAATTGTAATTTTTCAGGTGAAATTATCACCCTTTAGTTAGGTTTTCGAATCCAGCAAAACATTTTATTACATCCCTATGTCCGTTTTGTGTCGCTGTAGATATTGACGAGTGTGCCGCCAACCCGTACATCTGCGGCTACGCCTACAACCCTACGTACGGCCAGTACGGCCCGACCGGCGCATGCGTAAACACCAATGGGTCATACTACTGCGCATGTTATCCGGGCTTCGTAGCCACATATCTGAATAGAAGTTGCTACTGTAAGTATTCCATGTCCTTAATTGCGTCAGCAAATGAGTATTAATAGCACGTCTTAAGAATACTCCAGCTTTATTACGGCGTTTCAGCTGAGTGTAGGGAACTTCATGTCCTTGATGTTCACCATTTTGCAGAAAGCCAAAAGGGAATATGGTGCTGACAAACCTCGAAATATAGCTAATATTATATAACTAAGATCCGGACCCTACTTAAGGGACGCGATAAATTTGTGAATATGTACATGAGCTATTATTCCGACACATACCAAAAACTTATAAAGATAATAATGCAATCGTAATAGGTGAGTTCTGTAAGCCACACTGAAATGTTAATAGTTTGTATGTCGGTGTGTGTGTACAAATAGTGCATGTTTGGTTGAGTGAGTGAAAGTGAAGAGAACAGGTATATCATGTCATCAGTGCTACGATAGCTTAAACAATTATCACTTGCGATGAAATAATTGATTTTCCCCCAATTCTCCTCCATGGCGAATGTTTATATAAAATCATTAACTAAAATGTCTTGATTTTTTTCAGATTACCAACCACCTCAACAGAACATCTTCCAGAATCCTTATTCGTTGTTTCTTTTCGATGAATTGTTTGACTTCGACCTCTTTTAAGAAAATAATTGTAAAATATCCACTTACATTTTTACAATTTTACTGTTGCCCAAACATGAATGTATATAGATAAGTGTATTACGTGTACAAATGTAAGTCCTGTATTTTGTTGTCGTCTTTATACAGTTGTTTGCTTATTATTATGTGAAAACCAGTAGCTGGTACCCTTTATGCTCATGTACATGTATCGTTTATGCAAATGCACCTTGTTTTGGTCCCAAATAAAGCATTTGACTCACATACTACTGCATTATATGACATACCTATTGAAAAAGGACATTGCCGTGAACAAAAGGGTTAGATTTGTTTTTCAACGGTTTGCTGGGACAGAATCGATAGCTTGGTTGATGCCAGTGATGCCAATCACTGGATTGTCTAGTGGTCGAGACTTAATTAGACATACAGTTCGAATATTTACCGATGTCATGCAGCTGGAATTTTGCAGAGTGAAGGGTTAAACAACAACCTAGACATGCGTGAACACCCCAGAGTCATACAGCTGCATGTGTTATCCGCCATACGTGGCTACATTATCTGAATAGAGGTTGCTCTTGTACGTATTTCATGTCCTTAATTGAGTCACCAAGTGGCTTTGGCTAATAGCACATCATAACGATATTCCAGCTGTATAGCGGCGTTTCAGTTGAGTGTAGGGAACCTCAGGTCATAGTGAGGTGAGGTGAAATT